CCTTCTTACATCTAAACCAAGGGCTGGCCCTGCCCATCAGCTTCTTATTCTTCAGGTCTCAGTATTGCCCTTGTATAAGCAGCAAAGAGAATGGGAACAAAATCAGAATTAGTTGGCTCTGCCTTTCATTGGCACCACCTCCACCTCCTTTTGGGGTCTCTCCAAATGCTCATTGTACGGAAATCCACTTATCCAGACACAAGGAATTAATACCCAAGTTGTGCCAAACACACCGTAGATTCAGATACCAAACAGCCTGACCTGTGTGTAGTACAGTACTACAAACAAAAAAGCAACCTTTAAGAAGCCTTACTTTCTGTGTTTTGCTGGTCCTTGGCAGCCACTTCATCAGAAACCTTGCAGGGAAGAAGGGGGAGAGATCAGACAAATAAGAGAACTTTTATTTTCATACTTGTTTTGCAAGGTTTTCCTAGATTTTCCTAGTTTTTCCCTGTCATTTGAAGGTTGAAATTCCATTATCGGGAACACATTAGATATTTCCCCAAAGGAACCAGTGGAAATCATTGACTCATTATGTGAACACTTGCCTAACAAACAATTTCCTGAGAATATATTGCATTCAGATAGTGAAACCTGAATGTGCTTCTGATAAATAAACATAAGCTGTCTTAAATTACACTCAGAAAGTCTCGGTGTTAACCTGTGCTGTTGCATACAAACTGCCTATGCTACACAAAATTTATTTATTTAGTTATTTATTTCCCACTCTTCACCCTAAGGTCCCAGAGTAGGTTACAGCATTAAAACACATTATTGAAAACAGCTTAAAATAGCAAAAAAAAAATAAGGTGGGTCAAAAAAAATATACACATAAGGTGTCAAAAGCCAAGGTAAAGAGGTGCACCTTCAGCATTTGCTGGAAGCTGTATAATGAAGGTGTCATAAGGTGGGCGGTATTCAACAAAGAGCTCGCCCACACTTCCTCTTGTCCCAGGTCTGAGCAGTCTCTTGGTCACCCTGCTGTTTGCCACTCAGTCAGAACAAACATCATTTGGTTTTTCTGCAGATTGGCTTCTGTTCCAGTTCGCCAATGAGCAGTGGATTTCCCCAGGGTAAAGTGGCTGGACTGGCAGAAGTGTGGTTAAGCTCTAAATAAAAGTACTGGCCTGTGCAACAGGACCTTATCCCCTTTCCTGTCCCCTCCCCAAATATGCTCTGGAGGGTTGGGGAAAACTCCAGAACAGATTTGGTGGGTACCTTGCGGGGGGGGGGAGAGAAAGCAGTAGCTGAGTCAACTGCAAAGCAGTTCAATGCCATCTTTCTGCTTTGCTACGGGTCCCCGCTGAAGGGAGAGGAGAAATGCTGGACCATCCATGGAGGACACTGGACTACCCAGCAGCAGCTGGCCTTGACACCAGACTTCAGGGTGGGGTAGGGTGGGGAGGTTAAAGTGGGGAAAACAGTTGGTTTGATGTGAATGAGTTTTGAATTAGGGGGAGGTTAAGGTTTTTTTTTAAGGGACGCGGGTGGAGCTGCGGGTAAAAGCCTCAGTGCCTAGGGCTTGCCGATCGAAAGGTCGGCGGTTCGAATCCCCGCGGCGGGGTGCGCTCCCGCTGCTCGGTCCCAGCGCCTGCCAACCTAGCAGTTCGAAAGCACCCCCGGGTGCAAGTAGATAAATAGGGACCGCTTACTAGCGGGAAGGTAAACGGTGTTTCCGTGTGCTGTGCTGGCTCGCCATATGCAGCTTTGTCACGCTGGCCACGTGACCCAGAAGTGTCTCCGGACAGCACTGGCCCCTGGCCTCTAGAGTGAGATGGGCGCACAACCCTAGAGTCTGTCAAGACTGGCCCGTACGGGCAGGGGTACCGTTAAGGTTTTTTTTTTGTTTTTTTACGAATTAGCACGTCTTAGTTGTGCTTTGTTTATTATTTGAGTATTTTTTATAATGGATGTTACGTTATATGAAATATTAATATATTACATGATTGCCCCCACTTCCCCATGGTAATACACATTGTTTTTTTCTTTTTGCTGTAAGTTGCTTGGATACCTTTGGGTGTCAAGTGACTAATGCGTCTAATAAAGGAAATGAATGAATGATGCATCTCTGTGGGGAGGGAGTTCCGCAGCTTAGGGGTCTCCACAGAGAATAACCCTCTCCTGGGCTGCCACCATCCCAAACTTCTGAGGGTGGAGGAACTACTAAGCCCGACACCCTGCTGATTTCAGCACCTGAGAGGGCCTAGGGAAGTAGAGGGTCTTTCAGATGTTAAAGGCATTTGTGGGTCGTGGTGTGAGGATGAAGCCTGTGACACAAGTTATAGTGATGGCTGCTGCCTTAGACGGCTTTTAAGAGCAATGTGTGGCTGCTTAGACACATTCGTCGAGGAGATAGGTCTACAAATGGCTAGTAGCTGTGATGTTAAATGGGGGCAGTCTGTCTTCAAATGGCAGGTCTTTGTTGTGCAGGGAATGACAGGGGTAGAGGACTCTTTTGACTGGAGGGTTCCAGGGTAGAAACAGCAATGCTAGGCTAGATAATAATAATAACTATTATTATTATTATTATTATTATTATTATTATTATTAATACCCTGCCCTCCCCAGCCAAGACCGGGCTCAGGGCGGCTAACACCAGGTATAAAAATAATTGATTAAAATACAACTTAAAAATAAGATTAAAATACAACATTAAAATGCAGCCTCAATTCAGTAGAAACTCAAATCAAAAACTTTTTGGGGATGAAAAGGTCAAATCTTCACCAAGGCCAGCTATCCAGACTGGTCCTACATGGGCCAGAAAAAAGCCAGGGAAGTCCCCAAATAGGAGTTCCATCCCAGAAGGAAAAAGGAAAGAGGGGGAGGGGATCAAGTTGATTCCAAGCCAAAGGCCAAGCGGAACAACTCTGTCTTACAGGCCCTGCAGAAAGAAATCAGATCCTGCAGGGCCCTGGCCTCATGAGGCAGAGCGTTCCACCAGAACGGAGCCAGAGTAGAAAAGGCCCTGGCTCTGGTTGAGGCTAATCTGACTTCCTTAGGGCCTGGGACCACTGAGGTGTTGCTATTTATGGACCTTGAGGTCCTCCGTGGGGCTTGAAGATCAAGCTGTTCTTACAACACTAGTGACCTCAGCTGCCTCCTCTTAATCTGGATCCAGCTTTCCCTCTTTAACAGCAAACTTCAGAGGTTCCATGCCAGCATAAATGGCACAAAAATTGGGCTACTGTGAATGAAGCAATGCTTGTTTGATGTGGAACCTAAGATACGTATGCATGCAAAACTTTTTTTTATTTAAAAAAAAAAAGCCGAAATGCGACGGAGGCCCCTAAACCCAGACCCCCTGAGGGACTGAGCATGCTCAGTGGCCTCCAGAAGCCACAGAATATTCAGCATTGGGTGAGATACAAGTGAACTGGCACCCTCTTATTGTATGCTGCACGAAGGCATGGCTGAGTAGCTGGTTGGAGTCTAGAGCAGGAGCACTCTTGTTAGGAGGTGAGAATTCCATTGCAGCGGCTTGTGGGCAGCTCCACTCTCAGGACACCAATACTGGCTTACCCTGCAGATTGCAGCATGTGCTTTGAAGCCTCAGAAATACGCAAGAGCCTATTAATATTATTAGCAGGCTTCCTGTGGTCATAGGTAATGCTGGGCTGGGTGGATCTCTGGTCTCATCCAGGAAGTAAGATGGGACCAGCCAGTACGGAAACAGTATTTAGTATTCAAATGTTTACTGTTGGTGTTGCACTGTGGTTTGGCCACAAGGTGGCAGTATTTCTACATGTACTGTTCTTTACACTAGGCTTTGGCGTAAATGCTGATTTAAGTAACAGCTCAATGAAGACACTTCTCTGGTTTAATCCTGTCTGGCAGGAACCAAGGGCTTTTAGGGACATTTGCAGGAACAGATGATTTGGAATCCTCCACACACACCCTCCCCAGCTGAAAGAATTTCCATGTGTTGAGGAGATGGTTGTACTTACTCTGCCACTGCATGTAAAAAAAACCCTTAGGCCAAATAGTTTAATGTGGCCCCCAGGCCTCTCTGTCTGGCTCTCAGAATTTTTCCCCAGACCAGTTTAAATGTTAAAGCTTTGTGCACTAGCTTGGTTCCTTTCCATCTTCCATCCAGGGAAGCAAGAGGCAAGAACACATTTCAGCCAGGAACAGAAGCACTCAAGCAAGAAGGGTGCAAAGCAGGGCCTGTGAGGGATATATATGGTTTGGAGTGAGTGCCAGATAAAAGGGAGGGCCAGATTTGGCCTCTGGACCACAGCTTCCCTACCCCTGAACTAACACTCCCTCCACACACTCCCCACCCCAAAATCACTCAAGGAGATTACCTAATTTAGGGATTTTGGTCACATCTACACCTTACACTTAAAGCACTTTGTTTGTTTGTTTGTTTGTTTGTTTGTTTGTTTGTTTGTTTGTTTGTTTGTTTGCAAAACCATAATATGCACTTCCATTAAAATACAGCAAGGCGGAATGTAGCAGATAAGGATAATATGAGCAAGAGATGCATGAAACTACAATTAAAAACATCAGTAAATGCTGATGGGTTGAAAGGAAAAATATAGTGATGTAAAGACCCGACTAAACCTTTTCCCCCCTCCTGAAGTCATCTTCCGGAAGGGAAGGGTGCTTCGTGCCAAACCTCTATTGGTAAGGGGTTCCACAGGCCAGGGGCTGCCACATGAAAGACTCATTCCCTAGAGAAAGCCAACCAAACCTCAGTGGCTTCACCACCTCCCAAAGAATCTTGGGAACTGTAGTTTAAGAGTGCTTGGGTTTATAGTTCTGTAAGGGGGCAAGTTACATGTCCCAGGATTCTTTGCAGAGAAGCCATGTGCTTTAAATGCATGTGGTGGATGATGACCTAAGCCTCTCTTTGTTACCCAGACACAAGTCAGGTCAGCTTGGGAAAGAGTCTGCTTTAAAATCTCTAGGTGTCCATTCCTCAGCTACCTTGGCTTGGTTGTGTGGTGTGGCTTATCTGTGAATCCAGCTCAACACATCTCTATTTCTGTTTCCCACAGTACGATTACAGCTTCCGGACAGAGCAGAGCGCTGCAGCCAGGCTCCCCCCGAGCCCCACTCGATGTCCACAGCTCCAGCAGTCCTGAAGCCCCCACCCCTGGGTGCCACGGAGAGGGGAAGCACATGTACTACTGAGAGGGGAGAGTGATTCCCCTCCTCTCCACGTAACCTTTTCCCCAAACCCCTTTATTCTCCCCTCCCCACAAAAGCAGTGTTACTGGAACCCTTTCCAGCAAAGGGGACTCTTTCTTTCTCTTTCTTTCTTTCTTTCTTTCTTTCTTTCTTTCTTTCTTTCTTTCTTTCTTGTGTCTGATGATTTGTCGCTGTCTTTGTACAAAATAACTGGATAGGATTTATTTCTTCTTTGTTTCTCTCTTTTTATTTTTGATATCTCTCCTTGCTTCAGAGATTTTGATTTGGCTGCGTTAACCCTTTTCATCAACTGTCTTGACCTCCCATATCTCCTTTCAGGGTCCACTCTGCATCATAACCGTGCTAACCAATGTGTTGGATTGATGGATGTGTTGGTCCATCGCCTTTTTTATGATGATGTTCGCTTTGTTTCTGATAACTGGTTCTGCCAGGTTAAAATCCAGTGAAGGCATCTTTCTCCAAAACGCCTTGCACCATCTAGGAAGCCACAGCCACCTCATCTGTGGCTTTTAACAGTGATCTCCCAGCTCATTCTGGAATACCGCCAATCCAGTGCAGTCTTACTGGTCATGTGGGACTCTAAAATCACAGCATATCATTGGTTCTAAACTTGTACCTCAATCTCTATACAAGGTTGAGGTTTATGTCCGGACTGAACAGAGACAATAAACTGGGTTGTGCTTTTGGTTGGCTGGTGTTCTTCCATAACCTGTGACAGTTTCACTCGGCACTGGAGGAGGGAAGAAAGTAAATAAGAAAAGCCAACAATTTTGCCTTCTTTGCCATGAAAATCCCACACAGCACAGCCAATTGTTTGCAGTTGGAAATGAGCTGAAGACCTTTTGTGGCCTGGACTTCCCTCTGGCTCATGAAGAAGCCTGGAGATCCACTCTCCCAATCCCACTAGCAAAGCCATTCTTCATCCAAAGATCATGATATCCACCGTACTTGGTTTCCAAGGCCTGTTGGTGGGGGCCGCTTCTTTTTTCCAGCTGAAAAGAAATAGACCTAGATGTTTGCCTGGAAGCGTGGGAGATGCTCTGTGGTGCCCTCTGTCTATCTGTCTCTGAATGCAGACTGCCTGGAAAGATGTCCAGACTTCCATTCTCTCCCCAGAAATACTTGAATGTGGCAGCTAAGAAAACAGCCAATCAAAACATGCCGGTCGCAGCAGCTGGCTCCTAAAGTCTTTGTCTCCCCTATTGGCTGCTTGATGATGAGAGCGACCACCATGTGTGCCTCTGGAAGCCTCCTGAGAAGGGAGTTAAGACTTCAGTTCACAACAAGTCTGGTCCCACTTCGCCAGCCCAAGAACAACTTTAAACTTCAGTCTCCAGTATGCTCACGACAAGTGTCTTGTTCGAGACCCAAATGCATGTCTTGGTGAAATCTGTTAACTGTATTATTATTTTTTAATGTTATTTTGGAAAGCCTGTGTGATCTCATGTGCTGCTGTTTGTGAGTCCCTGCCGGAGAGAACAAAATGTTTTTGAGGGGCAGCAAAGAGGGACAGGATTATTAACACTTCTCCCTACCCACTGCCCTCTTCAGGTGGAAAGGTTCAGCTGTGTAACATGTAAATAATGATTGTCTAACAGTCTTCAAATTAAAACACGGTGGTCATAGAAAGGCAGCTGCTCTTGTGAGTTGTTTGGTAAGCATGTTCTTTAATTGTTCTTCCGAGGTTAAGTGCATGGATGAAAGTTGATATAGACATACCATCTTCCTCCTGATGGTGTGGGATGCTCCTAGTACTTTATTATCTGTAGCCCTAATTCTATGTCTTAACAAAATTCAGATTTTTCCTATGATGACGACTTCAATGCTTTTTTGAAATACCAAATGTCAAGTTCTTTTTAAAGTGTCTTTTTTTCTTCTCTTCTTTTTTGGTGCCTCTGCTTTGCTGGTGCCCTAAGCATGTGCTTAGTCTGCCTATAGGCTGACCCAGTACTGCTTGCAACTCCAGAGTTATAAGAATCCTCTCCAGCCCCAGTGGGTGGGTGGGCAGATCTGAAGCTTTTTGGTGGACTGAGTTGCTGCTGTTTCATTCACTCACAGTTCACAGCAGTGTTTACTTGATAAGAGTGTTTTCATGGGCCTTTCTCTCCTCCAGGTTTTTGACACACGTTGCCCCGCCATCTTTATCTGAAGAATCCGTCTTCTAAAGCAAGGGTAGGGAAGCAGTGGCCCTCCAGTAGCTGTTGGACTACAACTCCCATCATCCCTGACATTGACCATGCTAGCTAGGGCTGATGGGAGCAGGAGTGCCAGAGGTTTCCCACCCCTGATCTACATGCTGCTGTCTTTGTCACTGTTCTCCCTCAGCCCTGTTTTCCCACTCTGAACCCCAAAGATTACCCATGGAGCAGCAAAAGCTATGGCTGGAATGTACCACTTGAAACTTCAGGTGGGGACTCACATCATAGACTGTTCCCCATCCAACACATACACAAAAGCCAATCCCCCATGTAGAGATCTAGCGTGTCAGGGGAAAGTCTAGGTTGCCCCCTTTTGACCTGACATGCTAGGTGGCGGGATTATTGTTGGGGATCAGGTCCACAAAAAGGCTTACCACCTCAGCTAAGAACTAGGCCCTATGGGTCATTCTTCTAGGATCAGAAAAAAATAGGTTGTTAGTGCCAGGGTGATTATTTTGAAGACCAAGGCCCTTTTCTTACAAACCTGGAAAAAGCTGGTGCGTTGGGGCCTGCCACTGTTAATTTTTCCTGTAGGGGGCAGGCTGTGCCTAAAATGAGAGTGTACAGAAACCACTTGAGTCCCCCCTGTTCCTTGTTGAGAGGCCCACAGAGACTTTCACAACCAGCCCTTTATCTACTGGAAAAGCACAGGTTGATCCTTGTCTTCCCCCACTGGAGGTTGCTGGTATAGCATTCAGTGTGTTCTGAACAGCCTACATTGTCTTGAGGCTTTTTCAAACCATGACAAATGCGTTTCACAGGTGATGCTTTGTCTCAGAAAAAGAAAGTGATGCAAGCTGTCTGTACATTGCCAAATGCAACAATTTGCACACACGTCTCCTTTGTTGTGTGCGCACATGTGCAAGTCTCACTGACCTTTTTAAGTGCTTCCTGTGGGTCATTCCAGCAACCGCCATGGGGGGAGACAAAGGGGTTGGTTCCTTGGCATTGGCCATGTGTTCATCTAGATCAGGTGTAGGCAACCTAAGGCCCGTGGGCCAGATGCGGCCCAATCGCCTTCTCTTTCCAGCCCCCGGACGGTCCGGGAATCAGCGTGTTTTTACATGAGTAGAATGTGTCCTTTTATTTAAAATGCATCTCTGGGTTATTTGTGGAGCAAAGGAATTAGTTCATTTCCCCCCCAAAATATATATATATATAATGTGGCCCACCACATGGTCTGAGAGATTGTGGACCGGCCCACAGCTGAAAAAGGTTGCTGACCCCTGCTTTAGATCTCAGAGACAAACATGAGACAAAGCACTGGGCTGGATATAAGTGGTGTTACTCCTGTGATTTTATGGTGGCTGAAAAAAGTGCAGCTGCAATTGTGAAAATTATTCCCAGCTTTCCTCAGCAATGCTGATGCCACGACTGAATGCATTAAGGAGCATCTGATAGCGCAAAGGTTTAAAATTCACTGGCAGAGCACCTGCTTTGCATGCAGAAGATCCCAGTTTCAGTTTATGAAATCTCCAGGGCTTGGAGAGACCCTCCTGCCTCAGACCCTGGAGAGCTACTGCAAGTCAGCGTAGACAGTACTGTGGTACCTCGGGTTACGAAGTTAATTCGTTCCGGAAGTCCGTTCTTAACCTGAGGCACGCTTTTGCTAATGGGGCCTCCAGCATGCGATTTCCATTCTCATCCTGAGGTAAAGTTCTCAACCCGAGGTACTACTTCTGGGTTAGCGGAGTTTGTAACCTGAAGCGTTTGTAACCCAAGTTACCACTGTACTGAACTAGAAGGACCGGTGGTCTGTTTCAGTACAAGGCACCTTCCTGTCTTCAAATCTGTGGAGTAAATTGGTTATTTTCCAAGTAGATATGGAAGACAATCTTCCAATAGGATTGGGTTGATTGTGACTCTTCAGGAGTTGCTGGACTACAGTTACCATCAAGGTTAACCACTGGCTGTGCTTAATGTGTGTAGGGAGTCTGGCTGTGCCTGCTCCAGGTGTTGTCGATGTGCTTCCCAGGTGCTGCTCGACAGCAGCTCCTGTCGTACCTGAACTTCGGTTATAGTTGCTGGGGATAATGGGGGTTTTTGTTCACCAACATTTGGAGGGCACCACAGAACAACCCCAAAATTGTTGAGTTTTTGTTTTTTTTACAGAGACGCTAAGATCCAGAGCAACGGACGTTTCTACGACTTTCGAACTGGAGAGTCACACAACCCCAACCCCATCCCCCCCCCATTAATGATTAAGCTTGGTGCTCTGTTTTCAAAAAAACCATCAACTGTGGGTCTGTTTTGCCCAGGCGACTTATGAGTGCTCAAAAATAAAATGCATTAACAAGAAGTTGACAATTTTTTATGACATCAGATCATACAGGCAAAAAGAAACACTTTTTTATGCAGTTGGGAATCTTCAGTTGTATTGTATTTGTGTGTGTGTGTGCATATGTGCGGTGTGTGTGTGTGTATTTTTAAGATGCTATGCATTTTATTTGTGATGGGACATTGAAAGTGGATTAACTCGTTCATTAATTAATCCTATTAATATTATCCTTTCATATTTATTTTAGATTGCCTTCCTTGTATTTTAAAAGGGAAGTTTGTGTCTGAAAATTTAGCCTGTATTCTTAATATAATTTGTTAAATAAAAGTTTTAACCAGTTTCATTTTCTTCTTCTTCTTCTTCGGAGTTTTGAATTTTGGTTCAGGTGGAGGCATTGCATGTTCAAATGCTTCCCCCACCTGCTGCTTGTGAAAATCTAGCAGCTCAGGAAGAAGTGTCCTTCTAACCTAGGCTTCTCCTTGAGATGCTAGGGCTTTCTTATTTAATGTGGTTGGCCATTCAGATATGCTACTCATCCATCTGCATTCTGATCTGATATTTCTCCAGACTGTAGTACGTCTGATTATCGGTTGCTGGGAAGCACGAGTGGCATGAGAGCTGTTGCCCTCAGATCCTGCTTGTGGTCTTCCAAGAGGCATCTAGATGGCCACTGTGAGACCTGGACGCTGGACTACATGGGCCTTTGGCTTGATCCAGCTACAGTGCTTCTTACATTCTTATAATAGGCTTTCGGCCTCTGATCTTTTTGGAGTACCTCCAAGGAAGATGTGCAGGCAGTATTGAAAAAGGGCCCACACTGGGAAAGCTAGCACCTCAAGGATCAGGTTGGGTTAGACTGCTCCTCCCTGAGGCACTAGCTTTCCATACGAAGGAAGGCATTTCTGTTTAGAGGAGTATTCTCACACAATCTGAGTCTTCCGATTAGCACTCCATCCCAATTTGTTGCTCGTCAAGAAGCAAACATACTAGTTCCTTCCATATTTCTATCCAAAAAAACAAAAGCAGGCAGCGTCATTGGGACTTACCCATACACTTCAAAAGAAAGAAAGAAAGAAAGAAAGAAAGAGAACAGTTACAATGCATTAATACTTAATGCCAATACAGTGGTACCTCGGGTTAAGTACTTAATTCGTTCCGGAGGTCTGTTCTTAACCTGACACTGTTCTTAACCTGAAGCACCACTTTAGCTAATGGGGCCTCCCGCTGCCGCCGCACTGCCGGAGCACAATTTCTGTTCTCAACCGGAAGCAAAGTTCTTAACCTGAAGCACTATTTCTGGGTTAGCGGAGTATGTAACCTGAAGCGTATGTAACCTGAGGTACCACTGTAAATTGTTTTAAAAAAGAAATGCTATTAGCTCTTGGCCTGATTTCAAAAGCCCTCCTCAAGCAGTTAGCTCAGACTTCCAGCAAGAATGGTCTTCCCTTTCCTAGCCCTTTTGGGGTGGGAGTGCAATTTGAGAAAAATCAGTGTTGGGGTGGTGGAGGGGGTAGGAGAAAGAAGAAGTAGGCCCCACATGATCTTAGCTGTGGGTCTGCCTATTGCTGGTTTTGGCCCTTTCCACTACTAGCATGTGGCTTCCAAAAGATTACACACACACCCAAGTGCAGGGATAGCCAAAGTGGTGCCCTCCATATGTTGTTGGACTGCAACTCCCATCAGCTCCAACTAGCATGACCAATGGTCAGGAGTGATGGGTGCAGTTACGAGACTGATGGGATAGAAAGCAGAGAGCCCAACAGTAGGTGGTCCAGAGCCTACTAATTATAGTTCTGCCCCCATCCTCCCTGCTGAATTCTACAAGGGCAACACGGAGACTAAGGTGGTGGAAGCTGGCAGGCATTGTGACCCACTGGGCTGGTTGTAAGAAAGAAGGTGAGGGGCGCTGTCTGTCTGAGGGCAGATTGAGATTGGTGGGGCAGTGCCCCATTTGCCCCAATGGACCACCCTCCACTGGAGTGCACCTCATTGGTTACCTCAGCTCTAATAAAATCCTCTAAACAAAAATAAAAAATTCAGCTATGGGGTAACCTGAGCCCAGGGCGGGTGTGGGATAAAAGGCAAACTCTTCACCAAGTCCCATTGTCCCAGCCTTGTTTTGGCCGAAAAACTTACTTTCAGAATCCACCCAGTGCATTTGATGAATCTAGTAGAACAAGTTGTTAAAAATTCCAAGTGGGGAATTCTATGCTGGAGCCAACTCTGTTGATCCAGTTTTTTCCTTGGCCTTCTTCATCTCATTCCCCCAGTTGCTTCTTCTGCACGTCACAGAGCAACCTGGCAGCCGGAGAGGGGATTTCATCACTTGCTTGGCCACCCAGGCAGTTTCCCCCTGTTCCAGCCTTTCCTTCTTGAGGCTGGGCAGACGCAGGGTGTGGTGTCCCCCTTGTGTCTCTGTGTGGTTGCATGCTTTGGGGGTGGGGGTGGGAATATAAAATGGAATTATTTGGGGTGGGGCAGGGGGGAAACAATGCTCTATAATCGATTCAAGAATTCAAATGACAAAGAGTATTAATTCAAAGCCTATAGGGACAAAACACAGTTTTAGAATAGATGGAGATCTGGACCAGCTTTTGTAGCTTGATGGCTGTATGGCTAGGGCAGAATGCGAGAAGAGGGCTTATGGCACAGTGAGTGAAAGAGCCTGCTCATGCCTTCAGGATAATTCTGTGGCATGGTCTGGTACCGCACAGTTTCAAACCACTTAACTGATTGCTCGCCTCATGTAAGAAAAGGAAAGATAAGCTCCCCAAGCTTAGACAATTAGCATGCCAGGAAACCCAAATCCTTTCCCTGATGTGTAGATTTCTACAAGCTGTGGATTTTTAAACATGCAATTGCTCTCCTTCTTGCTGTCTTTCCTGTAATCTGGAGCAAGAGAGGGTGGTCTAAACCACTGAGCCTCTTGGGCTTGCCGGTTGTAAGGTCAGCAGTTCGAATCCGCACAACAGAGTGAGCTCCCGTTGCTCTGTCCCTGCTCCTGCCAACCTAACAGTTTGAAAGCACACCAGCGCAAGTAGATAAATAGGTACTGCTGCGGTGGGAAGGTAAACGGCGTTTCCATGCACTCTGGCTTCCATCACAGTGTCCTGTTGCACTAGAAGCAGTT